GGAGTACGGCCACCAGCGTGGGTCCGGTCTTAGCGAGCCGCAGGGCACGCGTCAACCGTCGCCGTGGCGGGAAACACGATACTGCTCAAGTCGCAACACTTTAATGTGGCAACACCAAACGCAGTACAGCCCGTTGCAAAAAGGCGCGGCGGGAAAGCAAGTAGGCTTATCCACGCCACGGGCACAAAGTACTACACAGGGTGCCACGAGCACGTCTCCGCGGTAAAGGTAATCCACGGAGACACCGGGACAAAGGGGCCCGGTGCTCGAGCGAGGGCAAAGGCGCTCGCGTTGGCTTCGAAGGGAGACGGGTCGGCGTAGCTAGGCCACGCACTAGGACACCGTACTGCCCTTCGGCCGTGAGTACGCAGCGGGGCAACAAAAGGTGAGCGTTCGCATCGGGCGCGAGGCGCCGTCAGCGAAGTCCGACGAGCCCCGAGCGACGGGACTCGACGGACGGAAAAGATAGCGTGGCTCACCGTTTGAAGTCCCGGACTGTACTCCCCGCTCCCGACGCAGCGCGCGAAAACCTCTCGGGGGGTCCCCCGCGCGCGGCGCCACAGTCGACATCCGCTACCGGGTGAGGGAGTTAAACGTCACTCCGCCCTTCCCAGCGCGGCTGACGGCAAAGGAGGGTAGGCATGTCGGGACATGAGAAAAGAGGCGGCAAAGCCCGCGCAAAGGCAGCCGGCCAGCCTCAATTCCCACATCCCCCTCTCCTAAATTTGCCCTTTACCGGTCTGCAAAAGGCAGCCGGGCGTCACCCATGCAGTTAAAATGACACTGCTATGAGCGACAGCTAACCTCAGTCCAGCCCTGCTACTGCTGCTTAAAAGAAATATGATTACAAAGGAGAAACAAAAACATAAATAACAAAATAAACACACGACACTATACAAATACTGCAGAAGGGAGCACAGCAACGTGGCACTAGTGTTCGTGGTGCTGAAGGGGGATAGCGTCCAGTGCGCGGAGGGGCGGTAAAGGCGTGACAGTGTCCGCTGGGTGCGATGCCCGAGTGCGAGGTCAGAGGTACGGGAGGGGGCTCACTGATGGCTTTTGCTGCTCTTGATAAGCCGCGAGTCCGACGAAAGCCGCTTCGGTTGTTCGGGGCCGCCCCGCATTTCTGGCTCGATGACGGAGCTGGACGTTGCGGGAAGCCGGGCCTCTCCAGTGGTCAGGGAGGCCGAACCCAAATTGGCTGCGAGGCGCCCTGGCGTTGGCCAGCAGCATATAGCTGCTTTCAGCTGGCCTCGCGCAGGAGCCATGGTGGTAAAGGCAGCGTGGCTTCTTCGGCGACGGCCGAGAGCAGAGCACAGCCAGATGGTCTGACGTCAGTGGGTCAATGACCCCCCAGCACCTCCAGTGTCCGCGTCGATGGAGGGCAGCCATGACGCACTCTTCGCGGGCTCGCACTGAAGCGTCACGCACTTACACACGCACGCACACACACCGCCGACGGCTGCGCGAGCGTAGGCGCAAAGCGTCCTTCGTCTCTCTCCCTCCCGGCAAGCACCGACACACAAGGTCACACACAGCTCCCTTCGTGGTAGACGAAACGAACACGAAAAAAAAAGTAAACACAGAGCATACTGACACTAAACATCTGGCAAAAAAACAAAATACAAATAACACTTAATATTAGACAAAAGAAACAAAATACACATGAACACTTAAAAAAAAACTGGCAGCAGACAGAGCGGGGTCAACTTCTTTACGAGAAAAAGGCCGTAAAGAAGCTAACCTATACTGAGGCTAGACAGTAAACTGAGGGCCTTCGGTTGCGGAGAAGTCCGCCGTCCGGCGCGAAATCACAAAGGTGACCGCTTCCTCAGATTATACCGGCGCGGGGTCCGAATGCGGTCCGTCGCTCCGGGTGTGCCCGTTGCTTGCGCGAAGTGCCGCAGGGCACTAGCGCGAGCTCGTCAGACCGTGACAAAGGGCTTCAGGTCTACGATGTGGGCACGGCTGAGTTTTCCCAAAGGGGATCTTTCAGCTAGTACGCGCCACGGACGCTCACCGACAATCGGTTCATAAGACCGGGCGGCTTTCCAACCCTTGGCTCAACCGTTTGTCAGACGTGGCAGGCACGGAATAGCGATAAAAGCCACGCTTCGTGCCGGGCCAGGTCACAACATTGCTCAGTTTGCAAAAACCTTCGAGCCACTCAGGTGACCGGCCATGGGTTCGTCGTGAGAGGATCGCAACAGTGCGGCTCTCAGACTTTTGGGCATAACCACCTTAAACGGGTCTATGGACTCGTCGTCAGTGGCTATATACTTCAGCAGGAGCCCGTCATGGTCCAGCAAAATGAGTCCGCCGGGGACTCAGCGACACACGCTGTTTCAGCCCCCTAATCGCGCCCGCCGCAAAACAAGCAGCGTAACGGCGCTCCGCGCCTCGTCAAGACGGTTTAACGGCGCCCGCCGCAAAGCAAGCAGCGTATACGGCGCTCCGCCCCTCCGAGACTCGAAACGGATCACTCTGCTGAGCCTTCAGTAGCTCTTCGCTGCCGAAAGCAATTCCCATTCTCCCAAATGGGGGAGTCTGGTATCGCGCCCACTCAGGACCGCAGCAACCGCCGCGTGAGTCGGCGTTACGGGTTCGCTCTCGGCCTCGTGGCCTTCGGAAAGCTCCCCCGCTCGGCCGCTTCGCGGTGCGCCGCTTACCTGGTTAGCAGCCAAGGTTTGTCCGCATGGGGACTCACCCTCCTCGCCGAATGGCGGCGAAGCTGCTGTTTCGCCCCCGACGCTTGCACGTGCTAAGGCACCGCGAGCGGCCGTCGCACCGAAATCCAGGTTCTCGGCAGACAACAAGGGGCACGAGATAGCGCGTCAGCTACCACGTAGGAGTGTATTCACCACAAAAAGGGGTGACGACACAGGCGAGCGCCGAAGGGCGCCCGTCGATAGAGGCGGTGGCCTCTTGGTGCAACGCGGCATGCCACGACGCAGACATAACGTTCGGGTAGGGCAAGAGGCCCATTCCGAAGCGACGCGCCATCTCCAAAGGGAGCGGCTAGGCGCCTCGTGTCGTCACCGCAATAGGGGGTGCCGACACGGACGGGCGTCGGAGGCGCTTGTGCGTAACGTTCGGGTAGGGCAAGAGGCCCATTCCGAAGCGACGCGCCATCTCCAAAGGGAGCGGCTAGGCGCCTCGTGTCGTCACCGCAATAGGGGGTACCGACACAGACGGGTGCAGAAGGGTTCCCGTCAATAGAGGCAATGGCCTCCGTGTGCAACGCGGCATCCGCTAAAAGGGACAGCGGACAAAAGTCCCGCGAGGCAGCCATGTTGCGACGAGCCCGAATCGCGCTGGCGAACTGACTCGCTAAGAGCAGTCAAAAGCTAGAGCTTTTGATACCGCGTTGGGCGCCAGTGTGGTGTACACGTATCCCGAAGGAGCACGGCCACCAGCGTGGGTCCGGTCTTAGCGAGCCGCAGGGCACGCGTCAACCGTCGCCGTGGCGGGAAACACGATACTGCTCAAGTCGCAACACTTTAATGTGGCAACACCAAACGCAGTACAGCCCGTTGCAAAAAGGCGCGGCGGGAAAGCAAGTAGGCTTATCCACGCCACGGGCACAAAGTACTACACAGGGTGCCACGAGCACGTCTCCGCGGTAAAGGTAATCCACGGAGACACCGGGACAAAGGGGCCCGGTTGCTCGAGCGAGGGCAAAGGCGCTCGCGTTGGCTTCGAAGGGAGACGGGTCGGCGTAGCTAGGCCACGCACTAGGGCACCGTACTGCCCTTCGGCCGTGAGTACGCAGCGGGGCAACAAAAGGTGAGCGTTCGCATCGGGCGCGAGGCGCCGTCAGCGAAGTCCGACGAGCCCCGAGCGACGGGACTCGACGGACGGAAAAGATAGCGTGGCTCACCGTTTGAAGTCCCGGACTGTACTCCCCGCTCCCGACGCAGCGCGCGAAAACCTCTCGGGGGGTCCCCCGGGCGCGGCGCCACAGTCGACATCCGCTACCGGGTGAGGGAGTTAAACGTCACTCCGCCCTTCCCAGCGCGGCTGACGGCAAAGGAGGGTAGGCATGTCGGGACATGAGAAAAGAGGCGGCAAAGCCCGCGCAAAGGCAGCCGGCCAGCCTCAATTCCCACAGCATCTAAAACATCCTGTATATATCTTAAGGTATGGTTGAACAAGGACTGCCGCTGGATGAAACGTTTCGAGAGGTGGACTTGTCTTGGTCAGGCACGAAACAGCCTTCCTCAGCTGCTGCCGGTGAAGATAAGTCCACTTGTCGAAACGTTGGCCTCAGCGAAATTTTTTTACTGACATTTTCTTCTCACTATTAAGCCTCTGTCGTCACGAGCAAATCTGTCTTGTTCGGCTTCCGTTGACAGGCTTTGCATCTGAGGCATCTTATTGCGACAGCAATACTATAGACGCTCCAGGTGCATTTCCGCCGTCGCCGTGAGCTTCACTGAGCTTCCGTAATAGTTCCAAGGGCGATAGCGCATCCCTACACGTTGTAGATTCTATGTGCGAGTGAAAGCGTGTGTGAGTATCCTACAATTGCGGCTTAAGCGAAGAGGTAATACACCGGCCGTTTTTATTTGCGCCTAAGTCTTATTGAAACCAGGCAGGGCGATGGGAGAGACGGGAGAGGGCTGCGTAGCTTCAGCAGAAACTGCGTACTTTGAACGGCCAGGCGTGTTCGTGCGTACCTTGTCTTGAAAAGAATCGACGACCCACCCATACCTTTGTCCGTACTGCTTTTTCATAATTGAATTTGCGTTGAAATGGCAGACAGTATGGATATCGCTTCGCTAACTGCAGCGGCTGCGTTTCCTTACGCCAGCGTTTTGTCGATCTACGGCACGTCGTATATGGAGGAGTCGGGCCTTACTTCGTGTAATATTCCGATTTGTTGCTCTCGCATTCATTGCTTCACCCTTGCGAAACCGTTACTTGATTTATGTAGGTATGCTGTGTGGGACTCTGTCACGACGTCATAGCAACTGGTCACTCGTGTAAAACATGCGCAGAGGGCTCCCCTGTGGTGGCGCTGCTGTGCGAGTACGATGCCTTGCCCGGCCTCGGACACGCTTGCGGGCACAACCTGATTGCCGAGAGCGCTATCGCCGCTGCGGTCGCAGCAAAGGAGCTTATCGTTCGTAAGAACAAGTTGAGCGACGTCCCCTTTAAGGGGAAGGTGAGCACCGATCTAAGATTTTGAAAGCGATTTTTTCTTTGAGGTACTACTCTTGAAGTGCTGGTCATAAATTGTAATTACGAGTGCAACAATTTGCTCGTGTTAGCGATTGCGTGGTGTTTTATTCAAGGTGTGATAAAGAGTCTTTTGTTTCTTTGTCTTTGTCTTTCAACATTAAATCATTTTATGACGGGGTCCACCACATTTTACGTATTTCTGTCATGAATATGACGAAAATATGTACAGAGATTGCTAAGAAAACTACATGAAAAGGTCCAGTCGCCAGGACTTGAGCCTACGAACCCACGCTCCGCAACGCGCGGCGCGAACGGACTCAGCCGCAAAGCGTACCTTAGTTAGCTAGCTAACAGTGAGCTATATATACTACACCATCTGTTGTCTTCAGCAGAGACATGGCAAAAAGGGTGCGAAAGGTGCGCTTTAAAAGTCGTCGTCACGCACGATGCGATGTGCGCGTGCGCTTATGTCGTGATAAGTTTTTTGTACTTCTTGAGCTTTCACCGCAAGAGAGCGTTGAAGTTACAGGGCACGGAGGTCACTTCGCTCGCTCCGGTTATGGTCCACAATACTCCGGTGGCCGCGCTTGCTAAAAGGGCACGCTGCTTACACAAAAAGTAGCAATTGTGTCAGTTGTTAGTTCGCGCTCGTCCTGTGTATACTTTTGCATTCGTTCCGTGTAACTTTCTTTGTTTTGGAGCAGAGCGCTTTAAGTATCGAGCTGTGACATTGTTTGCGCTCGTCCTATGTTGGTTCCATTCGTGCGTTCTTTCTGCTTGAGAAACGTGCTGCAAGTTCTGAATGGCTATGAGTGGCTATAGCCATTCCTCGCGTGACATTACCTTTGACCTTGTGGCGAAACAATGCTCAATAAACACTCGGCTATCTCTTTGAAAAGACGTTACATTCTTATGTTATACCGATCTTTATGGCAGAGGGAACAGTGTAGTTTTTTGGAAAGTCATGAACTTTGTAACGTCATGATAGGCCGAATGTATGACGTATACATGTGCTGAAGCACATAAATTTTGATAACTGGGTTTATGATTTAGGAGAGGGAAACATGATGCGTGGTCTCTGAAAAGTAATGAAGTTCTTTGAGCGCTCTTTAACTATGCCTAATTGACTCTACTTTCGTCGTTAGTTCAGCGGACTAGTCAACTTCACTAGTAAGTACGTTAATTAGGTAGGATTTGTGCGAATGCACTTTCTATGACCATAACTAAAGGTGAATAACTTGTCTTGATTATGTCTTGATTCATTCAAAATTATAATTACGCGATCGGTGTTTGGCGAGCATATTTTCAATCAGCGTCATTGTTTGGGTGGTGGAGACCTCAGATCATCAGTGTCTGCTTATAGCGTTCAATATTCTGCACTTTTACGCCTTTATATAACTTAAGCTTTCCCCCTCTATATATATTTTTTTGCTTCTTTTTTGGAATCGATACGTCCCCCCTGGCAATCGTCACCTACGGCTTCTCAGATAGTGGTGCTGGGCACACCCGCCGAAGAAGGCGGCATGGGGAAAGATCTGTTGCTGCGTGCTGGCGCAATGGATGACATCGACGCTGCGCTCATGGCGCACCCCGAAAACAGGTCCGTCCTAAGGATGCGATTGTCGTCCAGAAGTGGGGTAAGTACCACGTTCTTGGGCAATACTGTTCACGAAACAGCTTAATTAATTATTTTTCTTGGGGTTTCCCGTGTCACAACCATTATACATGATTGAGGCGCACCCAGGTCAGAGATCTGGATTGATTTGACAGTCTGTTTTTTTTTGTTTGCGTGCGCCAACGTGTAAGTAAGTACATGAATGTTCTTGAATTTCGCCTTATCGTAAACGCAGCCGCTGTGGCCGGAAATCGGACTGGCGTTAGGGTGGCCAGAAGGGACGTACTAGAACTCAGCAGCGTGGCACATAGGGTTGCCGGATTTGGCTACTTTACGCCAGATTGGCTACGTAGCAAAGGCCACGGGGACAGCAAAAAATGACGTTGGCTACTTTATGGCTATTCTTTTGGCAGGGGTGTAAACAGATAATGTACGCGAAAACCAAGCGCAGCCATAGAAAAAAAGTGTTTAAGGGTTCATTCACACTGCCGGCTGCGGCTCCCTATAGGTACAATCGCATTTTTTTGTACTGCCTTGGTTTCCACATTATTAATGGAACTCATACAGGTTAGGCAGCGCTGTAACGTGACTGGCGCGGGACTTGCTCAGGCTTTCTAGCCGCTATCCGCCTCACGCGCTAATGCTCTGAGCTGTATAGGTGGCGAATTTGGCGAAAAGTGGATGCACTCGGCTCATGGAAGCCTTGCGCAGAGCGCATGCATCTCGCTATTTTTGCACTCATTTTTCATTCCGGTTTATTATTTTCACTGCCGGCGCTGCTGCACTTGTCAGCCATGGCGTTTCTTTACCGACTGTTCGGTTTCATCGTTTTTTTTTAATGACAGGCCAGTTTTCATCGCTGTTTGCACGCGCGATGTACTGCATGAGTTTCTTGCGTGAATGCATTTGAGCTGCTGTTTGCGTGATACGTTAACGCAAACCAAATAAGAAAAGATGCGCATGCGAAAGGCCCAGCCGCTCTTGTACGGCACCTTCTTAGTATGCCGGCACTCGCATCCTGAAGTTGAGGACGTGAGTGCTGGCATACTAGCAATGGAAGGCTGGATCAAAATATAAACTTACCGGGATGCATCAGGTCAGCTCATCTTGTTTTACTCTATTTTGGTGTGGCAACCATTGCTGTGATGCATATGCGCGCAGCCGCTGTGGCCTGAAGTTAGACCGGCGTTAGGGTGGCCAGGACGGGCGTACTGGAGCTCAGCAGCATGGCACCTTACCTAGGGTTGCCAGATTTGGCTACTTTACGCCAGATTGGCTACAATGAATTTTTTATGAATCAGGTTGTGGTGATAATTCAACGAAACTGAAATCTTGTTTGCTTATTTTTTAGCTAAAAAAACAAAAACAAACGGCTGCCGGTTGGCTACTGTTCTGGCTATTTTGGTTACTTTTGCGGCTTTTTTTTCTCTTCTATAGGACGTGGCAACCCGGTTACGCGCAAATTCAGAGGCCAATGCCTATACAAACGATATAACGGGTACTTGAACTTGAACGCATACAAACCGTGCGGCACGCTTTATTAGTGACAACTACAATTTTAACTCCAGTGTTAGATGCATTAAAACTAACTTGGGATGGAAGCCTCTTGAGCAGCGCAGGAAATTCTCGCGATTAAAGTTTTTCCATTCTATATTCTGTGATGAAATCCGCATCAACAAGAGTTTATACATGATGAGCCCACACTACGTCTCACATAGAAATGATCACGAAGATAAAAAATCCGTGACTTCAGATGTCGTACTGGTGCCTTTGCAAAATCTTTTTTTTTCTATTTTACTGTTTGCGAATGGGATAAGTTGGATATGTGTGTTGTTGGTCTTGCAGCCGAAGTTGTTTGTTCGTTGGTAGAAGATTTGTGCTTTTTTGTGAATGTGCTGGAGCTGCTACGCAAATGTATGCCATTTTCGTCGGCGCAAACGTGCGCTTTGTTTGACTGTAATACTGTTTTTTTCCCTCACCCCCTTACAATAATGCCCACTTGGGCAATGTAGGCTGCACTAATAAATAAATAAAAGAAAATAAGTAAACCGTCAAGACAGTAACTTTCCAGGCTTCTGTTGAGTTTCGGTAACGGGAAGAAGTTTTCCGTGGCTCACATCAAGAGTGCATTAAGGCCGCATAAGCCCAGATGTAGGCCGTACAGATTTTAAAGTGAGGAGCACTTTAGGGACCCGGGTAGTCACATGCTGTCGTCACTTGGCACGTAAAGTAGGCAAACTCGAGTATAAAAATAGAAAAAAAGGAAGCATTCGTAAAATAGAAACATAAAAAAGGGAAAATAGAAATAAAAAGACAAAAGAAACAGCAAAAAGTAGAAAGAAAAAAAGGCAGGAGAAAGAAAGCTGAAGAGAAACAAATATGGCTGCCCACTGCAGCTCCATACGCTCTTCCGGCTCGGCAGCGCTAATGCGAAGGTGCCTCATTTTGTTTCCTGTTACCAAATCTCAAAAAAAAGCTGCATTGCATCTTTAGGGCATCTCATAATCACATTGTAAAAAGTGTGTCTTCTTCACTGTTCGAAAATTTCAAATTGAGGTAGTACAATTTCAATGCGAACTTCTTAGACGGTCAGTATTAATTTTATGGATTTTTCAAAAAAAAGTGTTACCAATTTGACCAATACACGTGACCAATTTTATAAAGAATTTGTACGTTTATTGAACAATCTCGCCAGGTGAGTGGAAGCCACTGATGTAGTATTCTATATGAGAGTACGCTGGTGTATCAAACGCAGTCGTCGTGCTTGTGCAGGTGACCATGGTGTTCGACAGCGTCGACGGTCCGGACAGCGGGGATCAACCCAGCGCAATGGACGCCGCTGTGTTGGCTTATAGCAATATGACACTGTTGAGGGCACGTATGGATCCCGACAGCCGAATGCATGGTAAGTGTGCCGACTGGTCGGAGGGAATGAAACACTTGTATAGCTTGGAGCCCTTCCTTTCGTCAGCGCACACATTCTTCGTTGGTATCGCACAATATTTGATTGGTGCTGTTGCTGCAAAACTGATACTGACATCAGAAGCTTCGGTACCGTGTACATGTGTATCCACGAAAAGACGGGTTTTTGCGGAAAACTCTTTTTATTACACTGCCTCCCGCAGTTGACCTCATGGGCACATATATTACGATGTTTTTTACAGTAATCCGCCATAGCTTGGACCTTGCACATACGTTTTACGTTGATGCATCTGTGTTACCAATATGCAGGCACAAGGAGCTCACAGACGTCATCTACAAGTCAGTGCGAAACACTGCCTCCGAGTCTACTACAACTACACCGACCAATACGTAGTAAGCAAAAAGGTTGAACTTTTCATAAACGACAGTGCTTTACATCTAAATTCACCCAGACATTGCTGATGTATTTCCGTCACGAAAATGCGTTGGCAAAATGCACATGATCAAACTAGACAAAGAAGTTCAAGTTCTACTGATGGGAGTCAAACCCACGATCTTGTGGTCTCCTATGATTGATGGCGGGTGCTTAAACCACTGCGCCAGCGTGGAACTTTTCTTCCTTATAAAGCTAGTGTCAAACTCATGAAGGAGCCTCCACAAAGAGGCGTTTTATCCCTCACCCTCTGCACTTGCAGTGCTCTTGGTTCACGGGGTGGTGTTGCGTCTGGAAGAGATCGAGTGAGGTAATATGTGGCTCCCCGAGATTAGCTCCTGCAATTAGCTGTCGCTCGGACCGTCCGCTTTAGCGCGTTTCCTCAAAAAGAAGTGTAACTTCATCAACGCCTTGACACACCGCGAGGCGACACCTTTAGCCCAAGCGTCGTGGGAAGCCTACACGACCGTTCATGTAGGCTCCCTAAAGAGTCACTCGCAGCAGGCATACCAAAAACGTGGGAGACCCTTAAGCTTTTTCCATTAAGAGTTGAACGCGATAGCGAAATCTGGACCCTAGTGCTCCCTTCAAGGGGGCCACCCCTAGTGCTCCCTTTAAGGGAGGAAGAAGACGACGAAGCTGTTGCTGCTTGGCTAAGTAGCTCTTTCTGCATTCATCGTTTAATTTTGTTTTTATTACGGCTCAGCGCTGCTCAAGACGTCGGACGACTCGAAAAGGTACCTGCCGTATCGGCGACCGACGGGTGCTGCGCAGCCCACCGCGTCGAAAGGTGGTAGAAGAAACGAAACAAGCATTATGGAGAGCGCCGCCATGACCTCCCAAGGTGTGACACCTGGTCAGAAGCACAAGCTGGTTTGCGCAAGCATACCTGACTGCTAGCGACAACACAGCGTTGAATCAGAGGACGAATCAACTGTCGTCGGGGACCCCAACGGGGCGAACCTCACAGATCTAGACATGGACGAGGGTGGTTTCCGCCTTGTGCGACATCGCAAAGACAGGACGGTGGGCATTCCTGTGTTAATTGCTCCAACATCCGAAGGAGCTAACTTGAGGCAAGTGAATCCTATTGACCTATACTCGGAAATTGAAACGATTCTCGGCGGAGCCCCAGTTAAGAGCCATTTCACAGCACAGGGAGCCCTGCTCTTGAATATAGAGACAGAACAAAAAAGCTAATATGCTTCTAGAGACCAACACTATATGCGGCCTTGCCATATCTGCCCGTGTACCACACAGCTACATGAAAAATATATGCATTATAAAAGGGGTCCCAAGATAGTACTCGGACGAAGAGCTGTTAACCTACCTGAGACCTCAGGGAGTATACCACGCAAGAAGAATCATATGACGAGTCCAAACCTCATCCTCCGAGTGGGAATCAAGGCGCACTGACTCTGTGGTCTTCACATTCGCTCCCAATTCGGAACGTCCAGAGAAGATCAACCTTGGCTTCACCAGACACGAGCTGGTAGACTACGTGCAGACGCCGCCACGATGTTTTAAATGTCAGCGTTTTAGACATGTTGCTAAGCACTGTCGTGGGGAACAAAGGTGTAAGCGCTGTGGGGGGGGGGGGGGGCTCAGACGTGTATAAGTAAAGAAAAACTTGTGTGTGCAAACTGTGGCGGCGACCACCCAGCTAGCTACGGCCGATGTCCAGCACGAACAGCTGCGCAGCGAAGAAATAAGACGTTTGTCCTCGGCCCGAAGACTGTGAACGGACCATCACTCACAAAGAAGACGTCCGGCGCGCCACAACATGGTGGTTTGGATAACGAGTACGCAGGAAATTTTCCGCACCTAAATCTGACAAGAGCTGGTACTGAGTTAACGCAAGTGCTCAACGCTGGTGAGAAATGTATCACGAAAGAGTCCACCAAGCGCACCTTCGCTGATGCACTGAGCCCACTGCTGTGTTGGGGGCTGGCTGGTCCCGACGAAGCAGAAGAAGAAGACGGCCGACGGAGACGTACGCGGCCGGCGGGGACACCGACCAGCCCGAACACGCGGGTTGGCGCGGAGCGCCGAAAGACAGCACAACAACCGCACTCCACGGTTACCTAACACACACTCCTTTATTAGATGCGGAAGCATCTTATACTCGCGCCTTGTAGTGCGCCGTCCGCACCGCTTCTCGAACATTCGACAGCTGACGCGCGCGCATGCGCCGTCGCCCACTCTTCCACCATCTGTGCATCCCTTCCTCCTCTACACACCGCGCGCGCTTCACTCCTCCACCATCTGTGCACCCTTCCTCCTCTACACACCGCGTTCGACATCTACAATTCTCCTGATTCTCCAGTGGACGCGCATGTGGCGTCGCGCTTCGAGAACATTCAACAGCTGACAGTGCATGCGCCGTCGAGCTGTATATATACTCAAGGTCGGCGCTCGCTCGCTCAGTTGCCGCTCGTCGGTTGGTTTGTACGGCGCGTCGACGTCCAAGGTCGCGGTGAAATGAATTCCAACGAATCCACAAACACAATGATCGACGTCCCTTCAACCAGCGCCGCCCTTTCGCATACGTGTGTACGTGTTCACTCATTTAACACCCCCTCCTACAACCACGTTAACCAATTTAGCCATCGACCCAAGTCGCAATTTAACACCCCATTTCACAACCACGTTAACCAATTTAGCCATCGACCCAAGTAAGTCGCACTTTAACACCCCGTTAACCAATTATAGGCTCCGCATCCTCCTCAGTGTTCCCCCGCGGGAAGCTGCGGGCAATTTTTTTTTACAGTCGCCTTGAAATCCTAGGTGCCAGAGCGGCGCCCCCTGGCATCCTCACATGTCAATCCGAAACCGAAACTGAAAACCCAAAACACAACAATCATCCCCTCCTCGAAAAAAGCACACCTATACACTGTTTATATTTATACATGCTCGATACCAACATATTTTACACGGTATGTACATTAGAACATATGAAAATTCAGAACACGGCACACCGAACTCACACACTACAAGTCCTGAAAATGCACTGACAAACAGAAAAATGTACACAACTGTTCGGAACAAGAGTTCTACATCACGTAGTCTTCGAACCGACGCGGCGTCTGCCGCTTCCGCTTAGGGCGGGCCCTTTTGGGTGTAGAATCAGGTGTGTCTGCACCTTGGTCACTTGTACTCTGATGTGACACATCAAGAGCAGTGGAAGATTGTGAAGGCTCTGAACGAGCGTTGCAATTCGAAGTCTCATCAGAGCTCGCAGCATGAGCTTCAGAAGAATTTCGCGGACAGGAGTCTGGTTCAACGGTCTCAGCCGTATTTGAAGGTTCGAAGTGAACCGTATGACTTGGTGTACTTGAACCAGCGACACCGACTGGTAACTCCTCCCCCCTTGAAGAAGAAATGCCTGTACATGGAGGCCACATGTAATAATCTGATGGATAGTTGAAAGGCGCGGACGGAACGTGATGGGGAAGACTTTTAGGTGTTGAAGGCGAATCTGTATGAAAAATAACAAGGCGCGAAGTATTCCAGATGTTACCATCACTTAAGCGAAACGAAGTGAGGCTAACCTGGCCCAAGACTTTGTAAGGACCCCGATACTTGGGGCGCTTGCCTGGCACACGAACCTTGACTAAATCGCCAGTGCGAACTTTGGACTGCTTTGCACCTCGATGGGTGTCGACATACTTTTTCATTGCTTGTTGACGAGAAAAAACCCTGGTACGAATTTGATCAGGAGAAGACACTGCTATGTTACGAGGCAAAGAGACTATGTCGAGAGCAACTCGCGGTTGCCTACCGTGGAGAAGTTGAGCAGGAGACACTCCAGTGGTGCCTTGTGGTGTGAACCTGTACGAAGCTAAACACAACACCCACCTCAAGTACCATCTGGAAGCAAACAGCAAGAAAACCTCGAGCACGTTATTCGCGCTCTGTTCACCGCACTACGTTCACACGTTGCTAAGATGCCTGCGAGTTCAACGAAGGATATGTTGGAAGCAGTCCTGGCTCTAAAGTCAGTGTTACTTTGCTCTGCTTCCACAAACACACAGTAGCATAATGGCAATGTTTCGCCCACCTGGTCTATTTTGTCCTTCAAAAGTGCCCTTAATGATGCAATGGAACTGCGCCGGTCTTCTAAAACGTCTGTGCGAACTCAACCTTTTCCTACGTGACATTCCAATACCGATTCTAGCCCTCTCCGAAGCCGGTTTACCGAATGCAAGGACGCTCTTAGGGTACACCCGCCACGGCAACCCGAGCATAACGTCGTTTGCAAATGGAAGCGCAACGATATACATAACGCGGGAAATACCTCACGTCGCCTTACCAGTGCAAAACCTCTGTTCCTACTCACTGGAAGTCGCTGTTGTGCAAGTGTGCCTGGGAAACCGAAAACTGAGTGTGGTATCGGTGTACATAAGCGCACGAAAAAAGGTCTCCATGGAGACTTTTCTAAAGCACCTTTGCACTCGATGTCCCGCTCCTCGAATAAGCTGTGGTGATTTTAACGCGCACCATCCTCTCTGGGGAGATAAGAGTGGAGATTTTCGAGGCAAGGAACTTCTAGCAGCTGCAGATGCTGCCGACTTATGTGTGGCGAACGATGGCAAACCTATATTTTTCAGGCCACCAGATTCATGGAGTGCAATAGACCTTGTACTTCACTCCACGGACCTTCTGGTATCATCGACCATGGTTCCAGACAAGATGGGCAGCGACCATTTCCCCATCTTCACCAATATCCTGGGATTTCGAACTGCTGGTCGACAATTCTGCAATGTAACACGCTGGGACACCTACAGAGAAGCGTTGGACAAATCCACTGGTGAGCTGTTCGCAGATATGTTGCAAAGCAAGCGAGCAGCAACTTTGTTGCTGAAACTGCGCGACCATTTTCCTGCTCCTGACTTGAAATTGAAGAACCTCTGCGCAGCACGTAGACGGGCAGAGCGGAAAATAAGGAGAACAAAAGGAA